CCGTTACGTACTGACCTTGACCGGTGAACATGGGATTCGCCGCGCCTCCTTGGTACAACGTGGGATCCCTGTACGTCACGTCTCGGGTCACGTAACCGGCACGCTCCGCGTATTGCGCTTGTTGAGGATACATCTGCGGTCTCACCTCGAACTGGCTTCGTATCTGTGTGTACTGGGTCTGATCGTAATCGGGCACGAACTGGGGTTGAGCTTGAACAGGAAGGGTTTGAGTGCTAGTTTGAGACACGTTCTGCGTTCTCTCCGGTGCCGTAGACTTTTCTTGACCGTACTGTTGAGGAGGAAGTTGTCCAGTCGGTGGATGTCTGTCTTCGGGAACACCGACCACAGCTTGCTTCCTTCCAGTCGGGTATTGACCGGTCTGTTGAGTTTGCTGTTGCTGCTGCTGCTGTTGTTGTTGCTGCTGCTGCTGCTGTTGCTCTTGGCTCTGAGTCTGGCCGATCGACTTGGTCTGCTGTGCCCTGTCTTGAGAGAATCTGTCATACTCTATGGTACGATTTTCGAAGCCATTTGACAAATCTTGTTTGGCATTATCGGCAGGCGGCTCGGCCCGACCGTTCTGACACGACGTCTGCTGGTTCTCCATCGTTTGTCCGACCTGGTTCTGCTCCTGGTGGCTATCGTTCACCCCTCCTGAACCAGACTGCGACATGCTGGCGGCCCCCACCGACGGTCTTCCGCCGATGTAGCCGAGAATTCGCCCCAATCCGCACACCGTGACGATTTTATCGTTCAACTCTCTGTTGGAAATCTAGATTCTCGCTTCAACGCAATCGTCACGGATCGCGTTTTTACGCCTCGTAAATTCCTCCAGGTCCACTCGAGGCATGTAAACGTCGATATTGAATGTCGTTCTACCTCCTTTTCCGTGATTCTTATCGAATTTCTCTCTCCCCTTGTTTCTTCTCGATCTCGCGGAAACGAATCTCGCGAGAAGATCAGATCATAAATGTTTCTTTATTTCGATTTTGTACCAATATTTGTTTCTTTTCTTTTCTTTTCTTTTTGATACGATTATTAGATTTTCGTCGAAATTTTTTAGTCCAAAAATTTATCTGTGCTGATTGAGTGATTTTTTTTTTCTTTCTCCCTTCTTTGAACGGCTCGAAAAATCAACGAACGAGCTTGTTACGCACGATCTACTTTTTTCTTTTCTTTTTTTTACATTTTCTTTATTCGGATCGTTCTCGCTCGTTTCTCTCCTAGGGGCTTCGTTAATAAATCGCGGACTCGTCGAATAATATTACGTGAAAATTTGAAACGTTTGTCCAGGCAGAAGGTCTTTGAACACCGCTCTCGCATTTCTCATTTTTTTCCAAGAGGGGAAGAAAAAGGGAACGCGCAATTGCGAATATAATCTCTTTTATTGCGCCCCTTTGACGTGATCGCCGTTTTTCGTTTCGCAAATCTTCGTCGATTCTATTCTGTTGGCTTTCACTTCATAGTTTTCTTGTCGTCTCGTCGACGAAATTGTATCGGGAAAGAAATATGGTTTTCCTCTTCACGTCTCCTTGTTCGATAAATAACTCTTATTGGTAATTTATATTTATTGAATTATTTTCGCGAATATTATTCCAAAAATCTTTATTCGCGATTCGAAGTTTATAAACGCTTAAATTTTTCTTACAATATTGTATCTTCTACTGATAATTGAGATTCAAATATCGATCAGCTGGTGTAAATTTCTCGAAACGTTAGAAAAATTGATTATTCCATCAATAATATCCTCTTATACGTTTATTATCAGTTCCTTGAGTAATTTTGATTTCCATTAGGCAGTTTTTCCTTTATTACTTTAAGTAACTTTCAATACTCTTCGAGTTGAAAGACGATATTTGATTTTATTGTTCCAGTTTCGTATCAACATTCTTCCTTTATATATCTAACGAAAGAATTAACTCTTTCTTTTTCGCGGAATCGTAGCAACGATTCATCCGCAAAATATCTGTAGGATCGATCTGCAAAAGAAAGACACGAAACACGTACTTCTCCAACTTTCCTATTTTATATAAATTTCCCTCGCAATATTCGGCGCAAAATTAACATTAAACCAAAATTTAAAATTAATTGGAGAGAGGGGGGAGAGAGTAATCACTATTATTCAAATTAACACGTTCAACAATAACCACCTACACCTATATTATATGAATTAATTAAAATAATTGTTAATCCGGAAAATAATCCTCACCGCTCGAACTTTGTTTTTGCATGAAATTAAAAGTCCATTAATAAGTTTTGGAAATAAACGGAAGAAAACATCGAAATCCCTATTAATTCTCGGGAGGCTGAAACTTAATTCCTCGCATAAATTAAGGGTCTGGTAATAGTTTCTCCACGGCTTTCTGAACCATCGAGCCGTGTCTAACGGAGGCGGAACACCGAAAAACATCGGAAAGGAAGTTCGAATAAACTGTTGGCCGTTAATTCAGAAATTTCACGATCGAGTTCCGAATAGAGGCGGCTCGGCCAAGACGTTTATTTAGCCAAGGCTTCGACGTCGGCCCTCAGAAATGCCTTCAGAAATCCGCGTTTCAATTTATCTAGCCGACAATGACAAGGGCGAACAAAGAGTTCGCTGCTTCGGGGACGATCTATTTCACTCGGTGGAACGCGAATTGTTTTCGTGATTTCCCAAGCGCCTCGTGATCACTTTAGTTTCAGATAGACGCCCTTCTTCATTCGATCTTTCATTGCTTGAAATTTACTAAGCGGAAAATTTAATATTGAAAATTTCTTCGAGAGACCTTTGAACTGACGAATTATATTTTCTTTTCCTTTTGCATTAATAATTTCCTCTTGGTTGGGAATAATTGTAATCATTTTTTCGACGATATAATAATCGAATGAAGAGAATGGGATATTATCTAGAATAAACATGGAAAATTTCTCATCTCAAGACTTTAATAATTTTTTCGATGAAGAGACGAATAGAGAAAATAGCAGATGTCGGACATTATGGGGCAATTAAAAGGGAATTTCTAGAATTTCGTCTCGTTTTTGATATCTGCACCATTCACTGTGTTTTATTGGCGATATATCGCTCGAAGAAAGTTGCTCATGGCGAAGAATCTCTGGTAGAAACTTGGATAGAAGGGAAGACGAAGCGTAGCGCATTTATCTGTAATAAGAAGTGGTCTATAAATCCGTTTACGAGCAATACCAAATTTACTGGAATATTTATTGAAACGTTTCAACTATCGCTGCTAAATGTTGGTATTTATGTGGTATTAGGGTTTATATTGTGCTTTATATCGAGAATTTCTGATACTGGTACTAATTATTCCGCATCTGATTGAATATTAATGATGAAATTTAATCGTATATGAAATAACAAACTAATACTAACAATCCAATATATCTATCATCCATCATTGCTTTTATCATTGAATATTCTATTCTGGGAAATTTTTATTTTTCAAAAAAATATTCGCACAAATCAAACTACGATACGATGATATTTAATCATCTTTAAAACTTGATACTTTTTTCATATTTCGGCCAATCTGAAACGAATATAACTCAATAATTCGATCCTTTTATCCGATCGATATTAATTCATTTCTGATATTTGAGCAGAAAATACACAGTAGAATTATTTTCTCAACGAACACTCCTTCCTTAATCTTGATAATCAGAATCATATATAACACCTCCAGTGTCCATAGAGCAGACACGCCACTTTGCAAGCGACCATCGCCTTTAGATCCATTCGAGGGTTTCAAACTAACACAGTTTGCACAAAACCTAGGGATGTGCTTAAAGTGACCATCTCGTTTCGCAAACAAGGGACTCGTAATTCATCATCCCCAGGCTTGCCAACACGCTTTACATCGAGACTAATGACTGGTCTTTATACACGGGGGTTGAAAGGTTGACGCGTGAATGCCAGTTTGTGGGCTGGACGTCATGTATCATGAAACATGAACCGGTCGAAGTGAAAATACAGTGTAAATTGAACTAATGGTTTCGGATCCCGTTTATTTTCGATCTGTTTAAAAAAAAAAATCGTTTTTATCGTTGTAAATAGCGCGATATATGATCATAAATTATATTGCGATTACGCTTTCGACGTGAAATCTGTACGATCATTTTTTCTTTTTTTTCTTTTTTTTTTTTTGATATTAATTATCAATTATCTCGATGAATTTTATCATATAGTTTGTAAATTTGAAACGTTATTTGTTGTTAAATGATTTAATTTGAAATTTTTTATCCTCACAAATAGTCTCGACAATTTCTAATAATTTTTATTACAAAAGATAGAATGGAATAAGAATTTAACTAATTTATTAGAATGAAAATTATTTTTAAAATTAGCAAGTGTAACTCGCGATTAAGAATTCCAAAAATAATTAAGAGAGGGACAAAGATAGTGAATTATCATAATGTTTAATATAATTGTAATATATTATAATATATTATAATATATTATAATGTAGTTAAACAAAATCATCGGTTATAATCAATTCGTGCATTATATGATCATTTAATTACGATATAGTATATCATTTCTCCTTATTTTTCCTTTTTGATTGTACTCGTGTATTGTACATCGTACACATTGAAGATTGAAAAAAAGTACGTAAAAGGATGCGTAGAAGTGAAAGAAACAACTCGAAGATACTTCCTTGAATATCTGAAGAAAAATTTACAAAACAGTTACTCGTAGAGAGACAAATAAATTGCTTTTGTCTTATGTGAACGTGCATCTTTATATGGTATACACATTTATGAATTACAACAAATATAAGAATATAATCATGTTTACAAATATACGTGTACTTTGTTCATTGATTTATTTTTTCTTATTATTATTTCGCGAAGATTTATGAAGTAATATACTTTAGTTTCGAATATTATTTTATACAGTATTATAAAAATAATACGAAATTTCAATTTTTCAATATATTTATATCAAATCTTAATTTAAATTCGAAATTAAAAATAAATATATTATTTTTTTATACAATTTCTATTGCACAACTATTGTTCCAAAAATGAATAAACAGAATTCCAAATTAATTTTTACCTTCGAATATTTAGTAATTTTCTAGCGATTGAATGAATTACTGGAAATTTGTTCTACCATGTAACTCGATGTTAATCCAATAAAGATTCATTTTACGCTTGCGTTTGTAATTCAAGAGAACATGATCTACCAAAGATCGTGTATATTTACACGATGTTCAGTATCAAGATCAAAATAATTTGATCCGGAGTGAATGTGCCTTGGTATTCCTGAACGAAGCTAAATATACACACCAATATAATTTTCACGTAATAGGGAAATTGTATTAGAGGTTATATATTATATATACATCGTTGCTGTTCGAATATTTACTTTACATTTAATTGTATCCGCCAGTTTGTATATTTGTATCGTACTATTCCTGTTTAGTAAGCGTGTTTTGATGAGCTGATCGTGTACAAATTTCCACGCATGTATATTATATATAGAGATTGCATTGTTGAATCAATTGCCAATTAATTAGCAACAGAATGTTAAAAACTAACGTTTCCATGAAAATATTTTTCGAATTGACTGATGATAATTCGCGTAATTAAATAATTAAAAAAATATATATTTATCGATAATGCGAAAACCAAGATCTTGTTCGTCGTGTAGTAAATTGTGGTGAACAGGAGGGAAATCTTCTATCTCAGGGGGATTCATCCGCGTGGATCGTATTTCGTTCAACTAATTTGCTTTATCGACCGTTAATGGGTCAACTCTGGGCGTTAATCAGATATCAAAATGAAATTTATAATCTAATTTCTCCACTCGATCGTGCCCGGTTTAGAATTTTATTCTTTCCCTGTTCTGACGTACAATTTCATTTCTATTGTTCTATCTTTTTAATCTTTGGATGATAAATAATATTATCTTTGTATATTTGTTCCTCGATTGCAAATTTCTTTTGGGAGGAATAGTAGGGTGGTTCGATGTGAAAGCCGGCTTGTTTCCTTCACGCAAGTCAGCTTTCCAAACATCGTGCGCGAAGTCTTCAATCGCATCTACTAGTTTTACGCGCTTCCCTCCTCCTGTCAAGATTGAATTCCTTTGCGTTTCAAAAAGCCCGCATGAAATGTTTTCTTGTGTTGTGTTCTTGCTTGTACCCCTTTGAGAGAAAGGTAAACGCGCTGTTCGTACATACATATATATATGTGTGTATTCAATACGTAATACTTAAATTCCCCAAAGAAAATTGACTTGGAAAAGTGCATCGATCGTAGTATAAACAACTCTTAGAAATCTTAGAAACAAAAATAAATTGTACGTCATCGTCTCCTTAATTTTCGTCCATCTTTTTTCTCCATCGATTTTCATCGAAATTCCCTTCTTCGTCCAAACAAATTTCCCATCGTTGTACATCTTCTAAGATTCGATTCAAATTTTCAATAGAAAAAAAAGGAAAAGAACTCGAGAATCCTCGAGAAACTTCTCCTTTCTTCTCTTTTTCCACACCCATCTCATTTACATTCCAATTCGAATCGCGTTCGAATCGCAAACGACCGGATGAGGAATATTAAACGTGAAAATTGGCGAGAATTCATGTTTGTACAGATCCAATATCGTATTAAATAAATCGCGAAATATTAGAAGGGAAGGCAGAGACGTATCGAGACGAGTCATTCTTTATTCCAATATTCTCTCTCTCTCTCTCTTTCTCTCTGTGTAACACGCACGAAGAAATCCGTATCGAATTATCGACTTGTCAGTCGCGGGGGGAGTTCTCCCCGGAAACTGACGATAACGGCGGGTCGTCGAATGGACCACGACCGAATTACACCAATTTCCTCGCCCCCCTCCCTCAAAGTAGTGGCCCTGGTTATCGGGAGTGCGATCGACTGTCGCGATGCATCGGGATCAATTGAAATCGGCTTGAAATCCCATTACTCGCCAATACCGGGAAAACACGATAACCCGGTCACTTGGGCATTTATTTCCAAGGACTTT